CCACTAGACCACCGTGGCGGTGCATCCGAGTTCAACTCGTGACTGTGATGGTGCTGGTGTGACTATCAAGTGTTTGATGTGGTGAACGATAAGCGGCATATTCTTTGCATATAAAGTAAATTGGTGACCTTTTATTACTTGTGCAAGGCTGGAGCGATAGAGAAACTTGTGACAACAGCCTCTTGCAGCTTTTAAGGTTGGTCATCTACTCATGTGTGCGGTCTGCTTTGAAGTGAAGACCGCATAAGCTCTGTTTTAATTTTATTGGGCTGATTGGCTCAGGCTTAATGGCCATTACACTGAGCTGTCTTGTCGTCATTGATAAGGCTTCAATAAAAGGGCAATTACCTTGGGCACAATTAGCAATGCCATGATCAATATGACGCAATTGAACGTAATGGTGATTAGCAGGATACGACTTGTCATCATATTAGTAAGGTCTAATTAGCTTGGTTTTATTTATTGTGGTCATGATTAGCGACGCGTTAATTAGCATAGTTTAGTTAGTTCATCAACTAGCATGATTTAGTTAGCCCGGTTCTAGCTTTACATTAATTCATTAGCATGGTATTCTTAAGATGTGGTGTAATTACCTCAGCCTTACCATGACTTGTCGTAATTAGTTTTGGTCATAGCATGTCCTGGCCTAACGTCCCAAGTATACCGTCCAGCCAAAAATACTGCATATTCACAGAGTGAATAATATTGAGTGGGGTGAAGCTTCGGAAGATTTTATTGGTAAACCGTGAAAGGATCATTCATCTGCCTGCCTGAATGCCTGCCTGCCTGCCTGCCTGCCTGCCTGCCTGCCTGCCTGCCTGCCTGCCTGCCTGCCTGCCTGTCTATCTATCTATCTATCTATCTATCTATCTATCTATCTATCTATCTATCTATCTATCTATCTATCTATCTATCTATCTATCTATCTATCTATCTATCTATCTATCTATCTATCTATCTATCTATCTATCTATCTATCTATCTATCTATCTATCTATCTATCTATCTATCTATCTATCTATCTGTCTATCTGTCTATCTGTCTATCTGTCTGTCTGTCTGTCTGTCTGTCTGTCTGTCTGTCTGTCTGTCTGTCTGTCTGTCTGTGTATCCGCACTTCCTGAGTGAGTCATTGAACTAGGTGGTCACGTACCACGAGCTAGGAGGGACAGAGCCAGTGCTTTAGGAGCTTCTCCCCTAATAGCTGACAGCCAGCCGAACGTGCTCGGGTGCTAGCGGGCGATAACAGCAGAGACGTCACGTACCGGCTGAGCAGCGCTCTAGAGTGTACAGGGTTACCATGATTATTAACACGTGGCCTCGGGTTTAGCTGCGGTCGCGGAGTTGTAAGATGATATGCTGGTGCTGATCTCCGAGGCCACCGTGCTAATTACTCTAAAACAGAGTTAATGCAGGCATTAAAAGCTTCAAAATTTGAACTCCCCGTGCCTATAAAAATATTATCACAAAAAGTTTCTGACACTTTTTTTTTGCGTTGGTACAGATATGCACTCAGTGGAGTGACAAACAAATGAAAAAAAGATGGGTCTGGTTTGAAAACAACACCCAACTTAGTAGACCATCCTTGACGCGATGACAGGTTTCATTGTAACCAGCGAAACGCAGCGCGCTGAGGGCTGGATTTGAGTTTTTATACTGTTGGCTCGTTCATATGGGAATGTCGCCAGAGCTCGAGAAGACCTGATGTTTCACAAAACTCACGCGAAACTCTGCCGATCCTGCATAGCGCCCCTGCTGCCGATGTTAAATGACCTAGTAGTTTCAACCGTTCCTTTCGGACCATGGGTACGTAGGTTCGCATCCCGCCTTGCTGAGAAATTCTATTCTGCCTCATTTATTTCTTCTCCTGCTGCTTTCTTCTCCTCTCCTCCTACGTTAATTTATCCAACGTGTTGCTGAGTGACGCTATAGGTGGTTGGGTGGTTGTCTACGAATTTGTTTCCTTTGGAGAGTACATATTGTTATTTGGATATTATTTCTGAAAAACATACTAAAAAACGAAGCGAAGCTAAAGGCCATGCGGGCTAACGTGACTTCGCTAAGTGAAATGTATTAGATTGAATGTCCAGGAAGCAGTGCTACATCATATACGAATTGTCAAAATGATAAGATTGTGTACAACAGCAAATAATGACTAGAACACATTTGCATCAAAATTTGCAACATTTGCTCAAAGCACAGCGTATCGGGAGTAGGTCTCCCGAAGTGGTTATGAAAGGAAAAGAAAGAAGCAGCCTGTAACTGTCTATCTTGAAGATGACACCCCAACAGGTCGGCGCATACATGGGGTTATGGGAATGAAATGAATAGGTAAGGGAAAGGCAAGAGGAGGAAAAACGGAACGCAGGACACATTTGCTCCGCTTCCCCCAGTGCACGCCCGAACCACCGCAACGCGCAACCGACCGGAAAGCCGTCGAGAAGACCCGGGAAAGCATTCGCTGAAAAAGTTGATGAGCCGGAAGGGCACATAAGACGAGAGCGCGCGAAGCACTCGCCTGGGTGCGTGTTCTAGGCACGAAAAAAAAAAAAAAGAAAAGAAACGCTAGGCCTGCGCGTAAGGCACAGCACAGTCACAGTAAAAGATATAAGAGCGGCCTTTCAGAGCCACGGAACAAAATCCATGCACCGGAGAGTCAACCGGAAGGAGCGCAAGCACTGCACGAATTGCCACCGCAAGTCCGGCAATCACTGCGTCCTAGGGGTTGACCTCGGAGGCCAGCATATCCAGAAGAGAGAGTGATAGGGTCGTCATGCTAGAAAAAGCAGGAAGCGCACTAGTAGCAGAGCGAGGGGTGGTTGCCGACGTTGATCAAAAGAAAGACTGTATATTTTATCCTGTGGTAAAAAAAAAAAAACAGAGACACGTTTGAGAACATTACGTACTCCACTGTGCGAGAGCGCTAAATGGTCGCAGATCAGATTTCGTGAGATAAAAAAAATGGTGCAGCTTACACGCAATAATAGCACAAGCAGCAAAGATTGGTGGCCGTCCTAGTTTATTTGTATCCTTAGTGGTCCAAACCGTGTTTATTGCGTCTGCCGTGACCGTTCATTGATTCTTCTTGCCACTGAAATAGAGAGCCCTAAGACACCGCAGGAGGCGGAATATTCAGACTCAGCTATCAGCGTACAATTGATGCATCATAACTGCAAACCAGGCACACATATTGTTATGAGAAAGCTAAGAAACGACCTCTTTCACACCAATATACATCAGCTATACAGTGTTTAAAAACATTGACATTTTTTCATAACGCAATCTAGAGCTTCGGGGCCAAATTTTGCGTCGCAGTTTTGTTTTCCGATTAGTTTTGCCAATGCTCTGGGAGCTTCTTTTCTGAAGAAGTTCTTGCACTAGGAAAGTGCTATGAGACTGTTTGTGAGTGTTTTTTTTCTAAAGAATGTGTTTTAGCAAAAGCGGTTCTTAGTTGGGGCCAATAACACTTATATTACACTCCCTGGGTGGAATAAAAATTGGGCTGGTCGATTGAAACTAAGCGTTGCCTTAAATACCTCCAGTAAATGACTGACTCAGAACGAAAGGAGACACACACCGTGTTCTTCATGCTTGCCGTCTATAGAAAGAGGAAGCTGAACGCTGGAAGGTAAAAAAAAATCGTCTAAGAAGGAATGTCGCTGGAGACGACGTTGGAACAAGGAGACTTGTCTTCATCAGGGCCCTGGCACATGCTAGTATCATAGTCGAAAGTTGGCTTCTGCGACATTTCCTGTTCGACAATTTCTCATCCTTTTGTACTGGTGTTTCATTTAGCGAAGCTATTCAAGACCATGCTCCCATATTTTGGGCTCGCTGTGCCAGATATTAAGTCTCGTCATGTTTCATCTTTACTTGTTTGATGAAAATTTTGTTGGTGGAACATGGCGCAGCAAAAGGTGTTCATAAAACAATTGGGTACCATGCAGCTGCATTTTAGCTACCGCGATATTGTGTATACGTTTACTCGCTTCTCTATGACGTAATCTAGACACGCATTATATCTTGAATTTTGTACATTTCTGCGTTGTATTATAGTGATTGATATTTGGGGTTTGATGTCACAAAACCACCATATGAATATGAGAGACGCCGTAGTGGAGGGCTCCGGAAATTCGACCACCTGGGGTTTTTTAAAGTGCGCCCAAACATGGGCCTACAACATTTCCGCCTCCATCGGACACGCAGCCGCCGCAAGCGGGATTGGATCCCGCCACCTGCGGGTCATCAGCCGAGTACCTTAGCCACTAGACCACGGCTGCGGGGCTGCGTTGTACTATAGTATCTACAGTGCGCTCTTTTTGTTTTACCAAAGAAACTTCTATGATAGGGCCACTTTTGTTTGTGAATATGCTGAGCTCCCACTCTGTAATATCTCTAACAGAATAACGCAACGTTGTTGACTATAACAGAAACTGTTTCACGTAAAATTGCATTGACTGAGTGCACGAATAAATGAAGCTGAAAACGAAAGACTCTGTGTGTGATATTAAAACGTCTCAAAAACTCCTTTGAAATACAAAGCAAAAGAATATTTTGGGTATCCAGCCATTTCTTTTCTAGGGAATGGGACTTTTTGCAAAGTCTTCATAGTGATTTACAGATTGTTTAGAAATTAATTCAGGCCGTGTAGGGGATATATAGATGATATGTCTGAGACTATGAACTCACACTCCGTGTCTGCTTCCCTGTGACTTTATTGCCCTGCATGACCGGAGAAAAGAACGTGATTTATTCCTTTTGTTCTACCTCCGTATAGGCGTGAAATTGCGTGCACCTGCTTCCAATCTGGCTATGTTAGGCCACAATGGAAACTAGTACTGTTAGCATTCTTATTCCGTGACGTGTGAACCATGTCCATCTGCTCCTGTGAAAACACATTTCGCTTGCATGTTGCGCCGATTCTTGTAGATGGGTCAAACATAACGTGTTTTGTTGTTAAATTACGAAGTATTCTTATTACTTGCCGAACTCTCTGTGCAGAGCCACTTCGTAAGCAACACACCAGACAAACTCTTGATAGGATTCCTGAGACGACCACCATCCGCCACACCACTTCGGATTCACAGGTGTGTATAAATAACTGTGCAATATCAAAACCATGTAAGGCAACACAAGTTAACATGCGCAGCTCCAAATGAATATGCTAGATGTATGTTGGAGTCGGTTTAACTGAAATGACAATATAAATAATGCGATAGTGAAAAATGAGAACAATACACGAAGTTGTTAAGAACCTGACTCCTTTAGCAATCGACATGGACTAACTCTAGAAAATGCTGGCGCAATAAAATGTGAAAGCAAGCGTACCACTTCAACGAAACCTAAGCAGTGAGGACACAGTCCGTTTGAAGGCATGATTCATCTAATAATTCTCTTTAAAAATAAGGCGCACGCGACCACAGCCGACCATGCTCGGCTACTCACATGAGGTGCTTCCTACCGATGTCACTCACCACCACCTTCCGACATCCATCCACGCGGCTTTGTCGTGACAAAGACAACCAACACGTTTCCTTTCTGCGTGAGACGATTAGCGGCATCCCTTCCCTCGAACGCTTTCATTCACGAATGAAACATGGCGTCCACGCGGGGCGATGCTAGTCGGATACAAATTCAGAAGTCCACGACATTTCTTTCTCAAAGTGTATATGCACCCACTCAAGGCTGACGTCATGAGCCGCACAGCTAGGCGGAGAGCATCCGCGTTTTTTTTTTAATCTGTCAGATATTCTGGCTCACAAAGGCTTGACAATAAATTACCAACTCGACCATGCACTAACGTTAGTTGCAAACGCGTGGGGTATCGCCGGATAGCACTTGAGCTGCCGCCACGTAAAGCGGCGCCAGCTACGGAGGGTAACAATAAGTACCTTATGTCCTCCGAAATTCTGGGACTGCTGATTGCCACTCGCTCTGCTCAAGACATCAATTATTTAGGTGTGGCTCACGAAAACTCTGCAGAATATACATGGATATAGTTTCTTGTTGAATCTAAGGACATGAATATCAAGCAAATAAACATAACAGTTATGAACTAACGAACAACAGAACGCACAATGGCCACTTGATAGGTTCGAAATGTACGACGAGCGCTTTCGGTGCTGCGGCCATGTTTTTCAGCCTCGCGCATGCGCAGTTCCTCACCAGCTTTCCGGTGTAAGATATGCGGCAAAGTGTCTTCGGTATTGTAAAGTGGCGGACAGATTAAAAATAAAAAACCTTTTGCTGAGCGCTTCACTGCGAACACATCTACATTCGCGGAGGTGATCGGCTACCACGCTTCGGTCGTCCGGTCGGCGCCTCTCCGAACATGAGTTGTGTTCGATTGTAGGCCTTTAAAGAGGGGGTACCCAAAAGTAACCAGACTTGGCTCCGCGTTGGGTGGAGCAACTGTCGTACGCAATTTTCCCGCTAGGTGAGCATCGTACTACAGCTTTCGAGTTCATTGCTTACAATGGATTCACTCCCCCTCCCATGCCACCCCCCCCTAGTCACCCAAAAAAAAGGGGGGGGGGGCAAGGTTAGTTCCATGCATTTTGTTAGGAGGAAGGGGGCGTAGTCAGCGTGATACATATACATAATAGAAAGAGAGGCGCGGCGATGTACCTTCGCACCCCCCCCCCCCCCCCCCGCAAGGTAACCCTGCGCCCGATTCTCGGAGCCAACGCCATCGACACCCTGAAATGGAGAGTTTCATATGTGACAGTAGCGCGGGACTTGGTATCCCAGAAGCAATAACAGCCAGTTAGAGTAGTGCCCAGACTACAACACGCCACCCCGATTAGGCCACACACGTTTGACAGGGCCATCGCCGCAGCACGCATATCTGCATTCACACCCCGGTGGCGTGGCTGGTTACGCGAACTGCTCAAAAACAAAGTGAAAGCTTAGTTGGTGTGCTCTTGAGCTTTTTTATTTTTATTTTTACTCAGACGAACGAAGTTCAATAAATTGTATTCAGCCGGGAAGATCATTCTAATGTGCCACATTTACCTGATTACCACTTCCAGTACATGCAGCCTATTGAAATCACAGTGGATTGTATCGCGTGTCGAATTAGGCAGATTAAGGCATCTTCATCAGCCGGTATTGATGAAATCAACTCTAAGGTACTAAAAAACGCCGTTTCCACATATAGCATTGCATTACACCGCATCCTTCGAGAGTCGCTGTCGTCTAGAAAACTGCCAGATGACTGGAAAATCGCCAAAGTAGTGCCTATCTTTAAATCTGTAGATAAGAATTCACCTGAAAATTATGGCCTTATATCACTCAATTGCATCTGTTGCAAACTACTCGAACACGTAATCGACTCCCATGTATACAGTCACCTCGAGACTAACAAATTCTTCTTTCCAAACCAGCACGGATTCAATAAATGCATGTCATACGAAACACAGTTATTAGAATTTACGACAGACATTCATCACAACATAAACAGTGGGCTACAGACAGATTGCATATTTCTTGATTTTGCCAAAGCATTTGATCGTGTTGCCCATTGTCGCCTTATTTCAAAATTATCAGCCCTCCGATTAGACTCCCTCACTTTATCTTGGCTACGAAATTTTCTTTCCCTGCGCAAGCAGTTCACAACCGTTAATAATACTACCTCTCCGTCTTGGTATGTGTTTTGTGGCGTCCCACAAGGGAGCATCCTAGGCACATTACTTTTCCTTTTCTACATCAATGATCTCCCATCTAATATATCATCAAATATCAGAATGTTCGCGGATGACTGCACGCTCTCCAGACCCATAAACTGTCCAAACGACCACCGCATCTTTCAAAATAATCTGAACACTATTACTAGCTGGTGTAACACTTGGCTTATGGCAATAAATACTAATAAATGCAAAGTTGTTTGTTTTGGACGAAAACATACCATTTCCGACTTTTCATACCACTTACAAGACCACATACTTTCACGGGCATCGTCCTACAGATATCTGGGCGTCGACCTGACACGAGGACTTTTGTGGCTAGGACACGTCACTTCTGTTTGCCCTAACGCCTACAAAACACTAGGGTATTTACGCCTAAACCTCCGTCATTGTCCATATAATGTCCATAAACTGTCTTACCTTACTTTCCTCCGACAGCAGCTGGAATATGCTTCATTTGTTTGGTCCCCTTCCGCTCAGTATCAAATTAACATGCTGAGAGCAATTCAGAACAGAGCCACCCGTTACATTTCTAGAAACTAGGACATTCATTCCACATTCTCTGAGCGTAAACGTGATCATTCTCTCCAAGCATTACATGTTTGTTGTCACGTTTCCTTGTTATGCCTATTTCATAAGTATGCGTTCAAGAAGAAAACATTGTCATTGAACATTCAACGTCCCCTCTACACGTCACACAGGTTACATAATCATCTGAGCTTCACGCGCGTGTTTAGTAACACATACACGTTTAACACATCAGCACTACCGCAAGTCATCATCATGTGCAATGATCTTCCCGACAATATCGCCTCTGATAGTCATTCTAACACGTTTCGGCAAAAACTTGAGTTGCATTTCTTTAATATAGCATCGTGAGGTTGTTTTACTTGTTGAACTTTCGAGCTATTTTGTGTTGTGAAATGTTAGCCTTTAATTTCATCAGCAAGTTGTAATGTCTTGTTTTAAGTGGTGCTGACTTACTGAATTGTTCGTTTTTGTTACACCACATTGTGCTCCTAATATTAACCTGCACTATATAGTTGTGTCTTACAAGTTTACCTCCGCATTCACTGTAACATCCCTTACTCACTGCCTTCGGGCCTGTAAGGTATTTAAAAAAAAAAGCGCGCGCCCCTGGCGAGGTCACTTTTGTAAGGCCATATTTTTTGCACTGCCAGTTTCAAATGTGGTTATTCGAAGGTCTCTCTTTAAAACCGGCCACTATACCCAACGTTATGTCTGTGTCGTCTATGTTTAACCCCCGAAAAGCGTTTTACAAAGTTCTGAATAACAATTTTCGCGTCCCTTGTTTGAATGGAGCAAGGGTCTCAAACACGCGAAAACAACGGTGGCAGATGGGCACACCTTTCAATGTGGCCCGGTCCGCACATAACTGTCTTCGTTCCATAATTTTTAAAGACGAAAGTGTTGTATGCCGCGTTCCACCAAGACTTTCATATCGGATTTTTGTTCGTCAGTGAAATAAACGTGACCAAATAGCAAGTTAAAAGAACAAAAAAAAAACGCAAACAAAAAAGTGCCTCGAGGCTGGGAGTCAAACCCATGGCCTCTTCATCCTCGATGATGGGTGGTGGGCGTTTAACCTACTTCGTGTTACTAGTGCCGTTAATAGGAAGGTAATCGCTGGATTGGTTGCAAGGACTGATGTATCCCCCCTCCCTTTCACGAAATGCACCACGAAAGCACGAACAATTTAGTGTTGGTTCTTTTGGTGGGCAGAGAACGCCAGCTGCGGCCCAAATAACGAGGCAGAGCCAAGAGCTGATTGCAAAATCAAAAATATATTCACAGATAAGGCAGAACAAACAAAACGCAAATATGCACACTTCGCCCTTATCAACTACAACCAAAGAACGCGCGCAAACAACAACACGCGCTACAATGCAGTCTGACGCATTAACTACCCAAGCACAAATATGGAGTAGAATGTTCGTCGAACAAAATAATTCCGAAGTAGTTGGAACAAAGCTTGAATGCTTCTCTTTAAGGAAACACTCACTCAGTCCAGTGCTGGTTGTCGTCCTGCTGCGTCCGAGGTTTCACTTCCAGGAAACTCTCGCATCGCCAACTGACCGCACTTCAATAACATAAGTTCTTCTCTGAAAACACATCAGCCACTTACGCACTGCTACTGCAGGTCACGTCTTCGGCCACGGGTGGAAAAGCACACTTAAACTCTTTTTTTGGCACTGTGCACAAGACTTCATAAGTTAGTAGAAAACACATTTCATCTCCTGCTTTGTCACAGTAGGACAAGCCTTCACCTGGTGGTGAAAACTCTCTTCATCCCGTCATCGCCACCATCCGCTGCTTGCTTAAATACGCTCGCCCTGGGTTCTCGAAGTTTCGTCGGCGCACCGCACAGCCAAAACTGGGGA